GGAATGACACGAAGGAAGCCCAGTATCTGTGCTGATTGGAGGTGCTGTATTCAATTCATCGGATGGGAACATACCTGGTATCCGCATGCCCTTAAGGGAAAGGAAAACCGCTGCCTCTCTCTTTATTTGTCCTTCCTAGCCAGTGCCAAAAATGTCAGCCTGCTCCTCTCCTGCATTTAGCCAGCGGTCCGCATGATGCAGATCTGCCTCCCAGTAAAGAGAAGATGCAGAGAGATAGCAGGGTGGCTGGGAGCGCTGTTACAGTGCTCGGTCTATGCAAAAGAGGAGTGTCATTCCGCTCCCTACTCCTGGCACTGGAATTATCATAGAGAGACCCCACCGCCCGATGTAATTCAGATTAATCTAGCATAATGCTTTAACAATGCGCAAGGAAAGCTGCTTTGATAGGAGCCCCGGGAGAGGGGAAGCACTCCTCAGTTACACAGCTCCAGTGCATTCAGGGCTTAGCAGGTGTATTTTATGATGCTTGTTAGGTCTGTATTTTAACTTGTGCAGAAAGCTGAGCGCCTCTGTGGTGAGATGGGGCACAAATCTAGCTTTATATATAATATAAATAGATACAATAGCATTATTTGCTATTGAGATCAGGAAACAGCTCATTAACCGGGCCCTGAATCAAACTGCTCCAAAGAAAAGCAGAAACAATTCTTTGCCATGGGTCAAACCTTGAGGTCCTTATTCCATTTTTAAGATAGTCCATACACAGGCAAAACTGCATATGGACTAGGTAACAACAGAATAAGGACTTCAAGATTTGACACATACGTGAAAACAGGTATCAGGCAGTGAACGTCCAGGTACCAATACATATTTCAGTGGAGTACTTGGGCTGGATCCATTCAGGGACCAGTATGGGGGCGCTTTTGGTTTTGCAAATATTAATGACTAAATTGGCCTCCTTTCCTTTTAGGATTTAATGAGCCACCCACGTGAGGATTTAACGAGCAGGCCTAGGAAACAATGACAGATCTGCTGTATGCAGGGAAACGGCCAAATCCAGATGCTGCACCTGCTTACGACATAGCTGAATGTTGCCTCTTCAGGGACAGCATCACCATTCCAGCGCATCAGTTGTCTGTAAATCAGTAATTATTACACGGATTTTTGTTGATCGTGCTGTTGCTTAGACAACCGCCACACACACACACACACACACACACACACACACACACACTCATGCAAAGTTCCAGGA